ACATTCCAAGATATCATCAATGAACATAATAACAAAAGAATCCAAATAATGTTGGATCACACTATTCATCAAATGCATGAAAGTTGCACGGGTATTAGTCAAGTCAAAATACATCATTAAGAACTCATAATGCCCCTAGCGAGTCCTGAATCCGTCTTAGGGATGCCGAAACCCCTAATCTTTAACTGATGATAAACTGATCTCAAGTCAATCTTCGAGAATACCTTGGCACTCTAAAGTCGATCAAACAAATCATCAATGCGAGGCAGTGGATACTTGTTCTTGATAGTGACCTTGTTCAACTGATTGTAATCAATACACATTCTCATGGAACCATCTTTCTTCTTCACAAACAACATTGGTGTACCCCAAGGTGAAACACTCGACCTGATGAACACCTTATCCAACAACTCTTGTAACTACTCCTTCAATTCCTTTAACTCAGTTGGAGCCATATGATACCATAGAATAGATATGTGCTGAGTTTCCGGCACCAAATCAATATCCCTATCGGGTGGCATGCCCGATAGGTCTGCAGGAAACACATCTGAAATTTTTTTCACTGCTGGAACTGAATCAATAGTAGGAGTATCCGCACTAACATCTCTAACAAAGTCCAGATACGCCAAATAACCCTTCTCAACCATCCGTCGAGCCTTCAAAAATGAAATCTCCCTACTATGGATATGACCCAAAACCCCCCTCCATTGCAACCTTGGCAACCCCGGCATAGCCAACATCACAGTCTTAGTATAACAATCAAGAATAGCATGGTACAGAGATAGCCAACCTATACCCAAAATAATCTTGAATTCAACCATGTCCAGTAACAACAAGTCTACCCTCATCTCGTAACCACAAATAGTGACCACACAAGATTGATAGACTCGATCCACAATATTAAAATCTCCCACCAGTGTGGATACATAAGCAAGAATATTAAGAGAATCACGTGGCATAACCAGACAAGAAGAAAAATATAATAACATATAAGAATAAGTGGAACCAGGGTAAAAAAATATCGAAGCATCTATGTGGCACACTAGAACAATACTTGTGATCACAATATCTAAAGCAATTGCCTCTGGCCTCCCCAAGAATGCATAACAATAGGCTTGTCCTTCACCGGACTGACCTCCATTTCTAAGACGGCTTTGATCAGACTAGGCTCCACCCCTATATAGTTGTGCGAGTAGTGTAGCTGTTGTCTTCGAAATCATAGATTGGGTGCCCTGACATGGTACACTTCTCAGAAGTCTAGGACAATCTCTCTTGTGTTGACTCAAGTCTCCACACTCAAAGCAACCTCTCATCTGGTGAGGCTGCTAGCTCTAAGACTGACCCGAGGACCTTAATATCTGCCGAAAAAACCCTAAATCGATGAAGCATAGTATGGACTCTGTGCTGGAAGTGCACTGAAAGATAACTGGCCTGAACGAGCATTGTATGAATCGTGACAGACTGAAGAATCACGAGGAACCTGATGGGCTGACTGAGCAGGCTTAAAAGGACGGTCTTTACTATGATGCCCCTGGCCTCCAGATGAGGCACCACTAAAACCACCTGAATCACGGGACCTCTTGGCATCCCCCCCCTCTCTCTCTACTATCTGTGGACAGGCTCTAAGCACCTCGAAATCTCTATCGCATCTTGGAAAGTAAGACCAGTTGGCCTCTCAGGCCATCCCTTATTGGATACCGTAGTTGAGGCTCTCAATGAATATCTTGACTCTCTCCCTCTCAATAAGGGAATAAAAATACTTCATGTCGAGCCAACTCCGTGAACCTCATCTTGTACTGGGTTCAATCATACCCTCCTAGTGTAGATGCTCAAACTCACTGTGCAACTTATCTTTGCAAGTGTGTGGAATAAATTTCTCCAAGAAGAGAACTGAGAACCGAGACCAAGTGAGTGGTGTTGCACCATCTGGCCACCATATGTATGCTAGCCCTGACAACCGAAAGGTAGTAAAGTCAACCCCGTTCTAGTTCACCAGGCACAAAGTTCGCAGAATCTGATGACACTAATCTAGGAAACCTTGTGCATCCTTAGTAGGCTCTCCACTGAAATAAGGAGGATGAAGTCTCTGAAATCTCTCCATCCTCTTTTGCTCCTCAACAGTGAAGGCTGGTCTAATCCCGGGCTGAACTGCAATGACTGCATATATCGGTAGAACTCCCAGTGTCTGATAACCATGAGCCAACTGCTTTGGTGTATGTGCGGTGGGAGTCTAGCTCCTTCCCCAGCCCGTGAACTAGCTAGAGCAACATGGATCGTACCCGCCTGAGTCAAACCCTCAAACATGCTCAGAAAATGAGCCAAAGTCTCATGGAGTCTTGGTGTAGCAGTAGGTCCCTTAGGATCCCGAGCTAGTCCCACCGGCTTAATATGATCAGGAATCTGCTCCTCAACTGAAGCTACTAGTGGATCTACAATGGCTACTCTAGCAGATCCCCTAACTGTGGCGCGTGCTCCATCTTTACCTCAGCCCCAACCTCTCACGGCTCTGGCCTGGAATACTAACGCCTACTTAGCTGCTCCGGAAGAACGTGTCCTTACCATCAGTGAGAGATGAGAGAAAAGATTCAAACTTCGGGATAAATAAATCTGCACGATAGATAATAAAAGAAAGAGAAGTTTTTCTAACAGTCTTGTAGCCTCTCGAAGATAAGTACAGACGTCTCTGTACAAATCCGCAAGACTCTACTAGACTTGCTCATGACTCGTGAGGCCCAACATACCACACTATGGAAGATGACACAGTCATAGCAAGAGAATCTCAAAAGGTTGAAGATAATGAAGAAGTAGACCTCGAAAGTGTAGAAAGATTTCTGCAACAATTCAAAGAAATCACGAAAGAATCTTCCGTCAAAAATACTAAAGGAAAAAACAAACACTGAAAGAGACACTGAAGGCCCCATCATTGAATAATTGGGGTAATAAGGACGAATAACTTTAATAAAGTAATAGACCCCACCACTGTAGGGGAATCTACTTTTATAAAGTTTGTCCGTTTCTCTTTTTGACTTTTAGGTTTTAGCTTTTTATCTTGTCGACCATGATATAATTATTGTGTCGACCATTTTATTGTTTAGTTTTTGTTTGTTTGTTTTAGAGACAAATCCATTATATAAGGATCTCAATTTTTAGTTTAGAGCCAGGCTTCGGCTAATAGCTCTCACCTCTCTCTAAAAAAATCTCCCATCTCTCTAGAATCTCATCTTTTCTAAATCTCCCTTTGTAACAATTTTATATTTGGAATAAAAATCAGAAAAGGCTACTTGGCCACAATCTCGGCAGCCTCAGGTATTTGATTTGTTTCTTATAATTTAGATATTCATTTAGCCTAAATGATAGGCTAAATAATACTGTGTTGAACTTATGCATACTAGTCTATTCTTAAAACATGTTTTGTTGCTAGTTTTATACTGTATCACCCGATGGTTCCGAGGTTAAGACTGTAGAGCCTAGGCAGTTTAACAGTCCAGGCAGTAAATATTGGTTATGGTAACATAACCAGTGGTCCTTAAGACTCGTATTAGCCATGTGGGCATTGAGAGAGTCATGAGCATGACCGTGGTTTAAGGTTTGCTTGACAGGGCTGGTGTCTTAGTAAAATTTTATCCTCTAATTCTATTGAAGCGATCCGGTAGAAAAATGGTATACTGTTATTAGTTTTGAATCATTGTCTACTGTGGTTAGTGCTATGCTAAACGATATTCACAATATACTAATATTATATTTAATTATATATATAAAAATTTTGAGATAATTTTTATTAAATCTTAAAATTTGTTTGAAAATTATAAAAGAAAACCATCTACAATATAAAATAAAATAAAGAATTTCAAAAATACTGTAAAATAAAGTGACCCAACAAAAATATTAGGATTCACCGATTTAATTTGAAAGAACAAAAAAATAAGTAAAAAAGAGTGATAAAATATTTGGACAAAGGAATTTTACTTGAAAAAGTAATACAAGAAAAAAATAATTAAAAAAAGAAAGTAGAAAAAAGTGACAAATAGTTTGGATGAAAGTTAAGAAAATAAATAAATACATCAAAAGATAATGAAAAATTAAGATAAGAAAAATAAAAAATAAAAAAGAGAGATTACTAGAGAGAACAAAAAAGAATACAAAAAAGTAAAATAAAATAAATAATATAACTAAAAAAATAAGAAAATAAATAAAAAATTGAAAAAGAGTGTAAAATTTTATTAAAAATAAAAAAATATAGTGAAAAAAAATATATACTAAGAAAAATAAAAAGAAAGTAAAATAGACCAACAAAAAAGAAAAAGACAAAAAGAGAGGTATAAGAAGTGATGGGACAACTGGGTAATAGAATGTTCAAAATGGCCATATTATATTTTGGTCATAAAACTTTTAAGGGCTCTTAGCATTTTTTTTTTTGTGAAAATAGCACGGGCGAGCCAGTTTTCGGACTAAAAATTAAAAAATAGTCAACGTTTGTAAAGTCATTGAAAAATAGCCATTATTTTGCTGTAACACGAAAAGTTCCAACATAATATACTGGAGGTTGGCGCACTTGTGTATGAACTTCCAACATATTATGCTGGAACTCCAACACACGGAAAGTTCCAGCATAATATACTGGAGATTGAAGCACTTGTGTATGAATTTTCAACATATTATGTTGGATTAGTATATTATGCTGGAAGTCTAGTATATTATATTGGAATTCTAGTATATTATACTGAAAGTCTAGTATGTTATGCTGGAACTCCAGTATATTATAATGAAAATCTAGTATATTATACTGGAACTCTAGTATATTATGCTGGAATATTTTTCGATTTTTTAATAATATTTTCGTTCAGATTTATCTTTACATAAAAAGTTCGATTACTTCTGAAAATGTGGCTATTTTTCAATTAACACTTCTATAAATCTGACTATTTTTCAATTTCATTTTTTTTTTATATATATTTTTAAAAAATGTTTTAAATAGAGTTGGTTTGGACTAGTAGCCCAGATTTCCATTACTTCATTTCACTTCGTTGTACAACAGCTCCGGATCTGACTTCTGAGCATAAACACCCATCAAAATAGTTAGCCGGTGAGCTCAAGCGAGTTGGTGAGTCACGAGTCATTGCAATCCAGTCACCGGCGACGATGGATCCGGCGAACTCAACTCTAGGGCGAATGATATTGGAGGAGATCACTCCAGTGGTCATGGTCCTACGCACCCCTCTCGTTGAGGAATCTTCTCAGAAGAATCAACTCTCCTTCATCCAATTGCTTTCTCCTTTCTGCAATTTCAACAATATCGACGGTCAACTCCGTTTCAATAAAATCTTAATGTAAATTTAATTGTAATTTTTTCGTAGAATTAACTGTTTGTGAAATGTTTTACTTTATTGGAATATGCAGTGCCAGTTCGAACTGCAAGTGATCAGCCTTACAGGCTCAAGAAGTTTAAATTGCGCTTGTTTTATGCTTCAGATATTCGGCAGCCTAATATTGAGGTACTTTCTTAGCTGAAAATAAAATTGGAATATATATTCATTACTTACAGAAGAGTACTACTATAATTGGATTTTGGATAATTAAATGTACTTATAAAAAATGAAGAAGATAAGTGTAGTCAAAGAAAAAGTTATTTGATTGATTCTTGAAATAGTGATTGTGTGGAACAAAATGGGAAAGAGGGAGTGGTAATTTTATTTCACATTACTTTAATGGAGTATTAAGCTAGTAAGCTACTAAATCATTTGCTAATGATTTCATTGCTTCTCAATCTTTATTGTCGTAAAACTAAATTCATGTAGTGCTTCAACCAGAAGCTACTAAACGACTGAATAATGAAGTAATTGCACAGAACTTTTATGTAATACTTCACCTTGATTTGGAAGTGATGCACACAACCTTCAGCCGTGGAGCTTTGACAGTGTATTTAGTAGGTGATCTACATCTTCATCCGAGCACTTACACATGAAGCACTAACTAGCACATGTAATCCTCTTCCTCAAATTCTTAGCTGGTAGAATCACCCCCCTTGTAGCTAGCCATGTAAAGAAACACACCTTGCTCGGTACTTTAGGAATCCGAACCGAAAAGTCTACCTCCTCCCTACCCAGTAGCA